TTGTGAAAATATTAAGCGAGATGAACAAGATTCATTTGATCCCCGACGCCTTATAGGCCGAGATATAATGCAGTGAAAAAAATATTAAAACGAGATGATGAACAAGATTCGTTGCTTAACATGTTTATTTATGAAATAAATATGTCACCCTTACTTACAATATACAGCATGCCCTTCAAAATGCAGATTTTAATTGTGGACCTTGATTATATACACGGACAACACCCTGGATGTACCCAAAAATGTAAAAGGGTAGTTTTAAAGTTACTGGCATTTTTGCAGCCGGGACAGGGAGCCATTCATTCTAAAGACAGTTATTTCTTTTACCTGTACAGTATTGTGTAAAAAAGTATGTGTGTGCTTTGTTATTAATAAGGCACAAGTGGAATTATGGACTTACATTTTTCAGACATTTGTTTCTCATTATTTGTGAGAGGATTTTCCCATTATTATTTATTTGTATGTTTATGTGTGTGTGTCTACACACACACACACACACACACATATATATATACAATACTGTACAGGTAAAAGAAATAATTGTCCTAAGGGCAAACACATAAAGGAAATATACATTTCTTGAACACAAGTAAAATAACTTCTCCTCAAGTTAGCAAATGTTATTTATGGATTTGCCGATTCACGGCCATTTTGAGAACCTAACCCCCCCCCGAATTTGAAGGGCATGCTGTATGAGGCTGTAAAATTAATTGCATGGCACTGGCTCAACTGTTGTGCAGCCATCATCAAGTAATAATCTAAGAAGCTGCAAAGATTTCTATAAGTTGATCCACAATTACCCAGTTCTTACATTAAGTCTCAACTCAATCCCCATATTTGTTAAGAACGAGGACTGTGTTACAGGGCCATAGGTCACAAGTCTCTCCTGACCTGCTCCTTTAAGTAAGAAAAGTCCACATCAGTTGTCAGATCGGCAGCGCCTGGCTCACACAATGGGTCATGCAGTGCGTGGTTTTTGAAAGCCTGAAAATGCAGTACTTTTTAAAGATAAATAATTACACCTATATCTCAGGTAAATGCAAGGGCAGATCCAGGGAGGGATGTTCTGGGGGTCCGGATCCCCCCTTTTCACCAGAAAATTACAGTACTTTTTCTTTAATGCAGTATTGTACTTCAGAATATCCCCAAATATCAAGTGTGCATGGCTTCAAAAATGGCCTCAAAATGCCCATGATAATGGTCAGATTTAAAAAAAATCTGGGGGGGCTCGTTGCACTCGCCACATTCCCCCACCCACATATTCTTGGACCCCCCTTGAATATTCCTGGATCTGCCCCTGAAATGTCTTTTAATATGATATACGTACTGTTAACACCATAAACATATTTCAGCAAACTTCAATATTTGTCATAATTTTAAGCTATACTTTTTTAATATCAGTAAACTTTTCAACACTGACACTGACAGTCATGAATGCAAGTGATATTTACTTATATCTATGAGCTAACATTGATGCTTATATTAGCTACTTAGTTTAGTGTGTCTTCCATTCTATATAATACCATGCAATTCCTTACCCTAAACGCACCCAAGATTTATAACCTATTAATCTGGCACATATCTCCTTGAAATAAATGGCACCCCTCAGATGATACTCTTCAGGTGAAATTATTATCATCTATAGGTTGAAAATAATAGCTATCCTTCATATATCCTGCTATTTTTGTTAGGCAGCATCCTCTGAAGACAATAATGAAAACTTCTCACTACAGAGATGTGCAAGGCTAACACTCTCAGGCCAACTTTCAATTCTGTACAAGCACTAATATACAACACATTCAGAATTATCATCTCAGGAGTTACTGCATTCATGAATACTCTCTTAATTCATAAGCAGAAAACTTTTTTGTGGAAAACTTTGCCATCTTGAAGAATGTAACTATCATAAAAAATCTGCCAAGTTTAACATCATAAATACGTCACTTACCCTAAAGGTACTTGTAGTTTTGTTGTCATGTCCATAATCCATGATGAGAGCAATGCCTCCATCTTCTTCTATCCTGTTTGCCAGTTCTCCACAATATACTGCAGCATCAGGACACACTTCAATTTCATCACGTGTATCTTCAGGCTAAAAAAGTAAAAATTTATGTTTTCATTAGTAAGAGAATTTCATCTCAATGCTCTTCCATGTCAAGTTCCCATTACAATATACGACACTTGTAAAAAAATTCCTGTTGAAAAAACTTATCTTGCACAAGAAAAACTTATGAGCTTTTACCTGAATATAGATTTTTGTGGCTGGTGTGGGAGTCCTGGATAAAACATAACGCAGATGATGTGGCCCATCATCCTCATCTATGTCAATGAGAACTTCCCGCCAACCTTCTTTTGTTCTCCGAATTTTGTGAATAGGCAGCACATCAAAGAACTCATGAGCGAGAAACATAGAGAAGGTCTTTGGAACAGTGCTGAGGTGTCTATGCCAAAACACTCGTGATCCACTAATTGTTTTACTCTTCTTAAAATACAAATCTTCTTCAGCTGTATCTGTTATTTGTGAGAAATTATAACCTATCTTATATATCTTAAATAGCAATCATCTTTTTTTAAAAATTCATCCTCAAGTCATGGAATACTGAAAATTTATGTTTTCAAAAAAATACTAAATTCCAAAAAATCTTTGGTCCAATGCATTCAAAATTACCACCAACTTGGAGTCACTCTATTAACTGTGCACTTTCATAGCCCACACCATCACACCACCACTAAGTCACTGCTCTCAATATCTGAATATGTGGTAGTAAAGCTATATGCCATTCTCGGGTATATGTGATATATTTTCTTAAAATGGCATCCAAAAAGTAGCTATGGGAATGATAGTACAGTATTAGGTATAGTGTTGCAAAGTGGAAGAATGTTGTGCTTGGCATTATGCAACAAGATGACATCTTTCAAAATTTAGATAGGGGTGCAACAATGAATCACTTGAGTGAATCTTAATGGCAATGGTAATAGCCAATCTCTACATACTTTTCGGGAGTGCTAACAAAGAAGGATTTTGGGAAAGTACTGTTTTATAATTTCAGTAAGTTTATAATAAATATTCTTCATAAATACACTTACAAGTTTTTAAAAAAAATAAAAACATTTAGAATCTGCACTAAGTATAAAAACATTATATTAAAAGTTACAATATATTCTGATCAGAATCTATGGCCCATAATTAAAAAATACATAACAAGACAAAATCTGTAAATTGCTTGGTCCTAAGGATTAAAAATTTATTATATGGTATCCTGCTGTGTGAACTGCAGATACTATTCAAGAACAATTCTATTCACATGTATATATTCTTGTACAGAACAGTACTAATCTGGCATGCAACACCCACCTCTACTTGGTTGAACAATGCCACACAATCCTTCTTCCTGTTTCTGACTCAGTTCCTCTGATACTTCCACAAACTGCACAATTAGGTCACCCCCTGACACTCCAAACTGATTCAAGACCTATTCAAACAATAACAAAATAGAGAAATAATCTAATTATGAGTTATACAAAATTAAAGAGCTGGAATAAAGAAGCAAAAAAAAAGATATTTAGCATTTTCTTAATCATGTTTCCCTTTATTCCTTGGTTGAGTAACAAGTGACAAACAGTTGTAATATTATGTACAGTCATCTCTTGGTTATCACGCCTAATTGGGACCGCGCTGAGTGCATGATAACGAAAAACGCGATAACGAAAGTACAGAACCTATGGGATTTATTCTAATTGGTTCCAGGCACCCAAGACCCAACCCCAATTTTCCCATTTTACGACCATTTAGACCCACTAAAGATATAGATAATGTTATGGTAAGTATCAGAAACACACATAGGCATGGCTAGGTTTATTACAAAGTGATGAAAAGGGTACGCTCAATTCTGTAGTCCACAAAACATGTAGCAATGCTTTCTTTATTTGAGTCCCCAGTCTGAGGAGTCCGTTTTCTCATGGCTTCAGGACGTCTGAGTCCTCCGTTTTCTTTCAATTTTAGAGTGCACCAGAGACTTCGTTATTCCTTAGTAATGACAGAATTTGAAATTGCAACTGGGGTTGCAATTGTTGAGGCAACTTAGATATGTCTGATTACAGCAAATGTGTTTTTGTCAATTTGTAGGTGAAAGATTTTATCCTCAATAGATGTAGGTGAAGCAAGGGGGTAACAATACACCTGGAGGCAACTGAGTGATTACTAAATTCTCGGCCTGAAAAATGAGCTATAACAGCATGTGTGCAGATTTTGATGGAGGCGTGATAACGAAAATCGCGATAACCAAGTGCGCTATAACCAAGGGATGACTGTATACTATAATCTTTTAAATAACAAGATTTCATTTGCTTGTCCTTGGTTTACATGTAGCATACTGTTCGCTGAATTATGTGGTTACTTTACAGGCATTCGCTGATTTACATCGAGCCAGCAACATCATTTTGATATAAAATCGTTTAATAATCAGGGAACAATATTTGATACACCCTGTATATGTCACTGAAGTCTGGTATACAGTAGCATCATTTTGAACCTCATATGCACCAGTGTGGCGGTGTGGAGGTAGTGTGCCACCTGCCCACCTCATCCATGCGTTCCCAACCCATCAAAATTCAGTCTCAATTTTATTACCATGGTGACAACAACTAGTACTCCTCTGTGGATTATTATTATTTTTTTTTTTTTCATATTTGCCACTTATCAGCTTACTCGCCATTTGGGCAGTTTATCCAAAGTTAGTACAGGAGGAAACCGCAGACTGGGAAACCTGTGGTGTTTGGTAGTGAAGGTCACACTGGATAACACCCTTCTCACGTGTGTCCGGGCCGAGGCTCATACCCTTGACATATTGATGAAAGTTTTGCGCGTTACCGCTGTACCACCAACACTCAACACCCATGCCTGGAAAACATCCTAAAAACAGTCCTGCTGGTACTCTACCCAAGAAATCCAGTCTTTCCACCAGTTTAGACATGAAAATTTAGTGTTGATTCTGGAAACAGAGAGGCTGGGAAGGAGACAGGACTCGGGATGCTCACCTTTTAGTGATATTTTTTTCTGTTATTATTATTATTTGTTTAATAAATGTTTATTCTCAGATGGCATTTATTTTTAACCTGCACAGCAATTTAGTATGCTATTATTACACAAAGTCCACAGTTTGATCTGGTTTGTGTTGAAAAAGTTAGGGTTAGAGTTAGGCAAAAATGTGCCCTGGGAATATACAGTATTGTCTGAATAACATTTTTCTGAATAACATCACACTTTTTAGAACTGTATCTACGACATAAATCAGCAACTTGCTGTACTTTACCCATACAGATGAACGTCGATATAACACAAGATATGTTCCAAGAGAGGTCGCTTTAAACAGAATTTGCACTAAATCGAGGTGTTGTTTCAATGGAATAATTTAGTTTGGTATTTGAGAGAAACACAAAATACTAAAAAGACTGAGTCTACCCAGATGCACCTCAGTCCATCTCCTAGAATAAGCAAAACATTGTTTTTTGTAGTACAGTAGGCTCTCATATTTGGACACCTATTTACTGTACAAACCTCGCAAAATTAAAATCGTCCAAATTTAAATACAACTTCCTATGGAGAAAATTAATTTGAGTCTGGTACTTTTGATGTTTGGCTAAATTTTGCCATATTTACCCTACTTTTTTGGTGAATTACTACCTGTAATAAAGCAACATCCTAATAAACCAATGAAAATAACACAGATAAAGTTAAATAAAAACTAAAAATAACACAGAAAAAGTTTTTATGTTCTACAGCTTCAGCTAGAGTTGAACCTGATGACTTGGCAACTTCGTCATCCGAGTAAAAACACACACAACAACATTGGCTGTCCTTATGTTTTCAACTTTACCACCATTGGTGGGTAGAACTTTTTTTTTTAAATTCAGAAACATTAAAGAAAACATATATGAACAGTAAATAAGTGTTGCTTTCATATTCTTATGTCGAGTAATGACAATATATTTTCACATGTGCACACTTACATATCCACAGTCTCACTTATTTCTTTACCATTAATGGTTAGCTACTTTTATTGTCCCATTTATTAACATTAAGTAACATTACTTAAAACAACCATATTAATTTTTTTTTGCATTAATTTTACTGCAGCTACAACCAGGGTCTTATTTTCTTCAGTTTTATATGTAGAACCAATCAGTCACTGGTTTTGTAAACATTAACGAAAACAATGCTGTCTCGTCTCCTCGTGTGTTTTAATATTCTAAGTATTATTAGTGAATTGTATTGTTCATTTTGCACACATAAACATTAATTCAATCAAAAAGACATTCAGTAATTAACAATAATGAATCTTTTGTACATAAGAGAAATGGCGCTGTTTACATGATTGTGCAAGTGTGAACATTGGCGGGCCTCTCAAATCCGTCGAAATTCGAGTTTCCACCGTCAAAATTTGAAATTGTGTACGGTATTTTTTTTTTTGTCCAAATAAAAAACGTTGAATTAAAAATTCGCGAAATTTGAGAACTTACTGTATTATGCTAAAACAAACACTCATTAATCAACACAGCTAAAATTACAGGATGTGAAATGGTCTGTTTATTAGCAATCAGCTGACATGAGAGGGTGATCTCGCCGGCGCAGCGCATCACCCGCCTCTCGTCTGACAGACCAAACACTTTTACTTTCTTCTCAACTTAGTTTTTCATTACTTTATGCTGGTCCTCCCCCTGCCCTCGACTGAGAGTCTACCCAGATACACTAGAACTCATAAACACTACTGTAATGTACATGTAATACAGGTCCATAATCCCTTATCCCTTATTTGAGGTGTGTAAAGTCTACATTCAAATTATTTGCTATCTTGCAAGGATTCCAGCAATGCATATTATATTCTCCTAACTTTAGTCTGTGACATTTTATAAGATAAAAATTTTAAGCCTAAAACCACTTTCACCCCTGGGAAAGGGGAGGTGATGTGTTGACAGCCAGGCAGGGGGGAGGAGTAGGGGGTGACATGAACCCTGTGTGTCTTATCTGTTTTTCGCTTATAAAATATCACTGAATTGACCGGGGAGATTATAACTTACATTAATGGAATTCTTGTAAGATAGTGATTAATCTGAATATAAACATGCTATACAGTACAGTCTCGATTTACGCGGATTCCCTTTACGCGGTAGGTCATTTACGCGGCACCTGGCCAGAAACGGCAATCATTAGTTACGCGGGAAGCGGCGCGGGCAGGGTGCGCGCTAGGTCGCCCCGTCATCAAAACATTACCGAGTTCTTCACCCGCCACCCACCACAGCCAGCCCAAGTCAGTGATAGTGAGGATATGGACTTTAAGGGGCTTGACAAGGAGGCCCTGCTAGCCTCTGTGGTGAATAGTGATACAGGTGATACAGGTGAGGGCCAATAATCTGCCCTCTGCCTCGGAACCAACCCCCCATCCCCGTGTATCCAGCCATCTCTTCTACTAACGTAAGTGTTAAAAAACCTAATATTATTGGTATTTCTCTTAAATAGTAATTGTGTGTGCATACCATCATAAAATTAAGATGTTATTTTTACTACAACGTACGTATTGTGTCAGAAAAAGTGGAGTTTGGGGGACGGCCCAGTCTCTATTTCAATAAATCCCATATGTTCTGTTATTTCGTTTACGCGTTTATCGATTTACTCGGACCTCCATGGGTTTAATTGACCGCGTAAAACGAGACTATACTGTACAGTAGTTTGCACTAGACATAAAAATTATTTTAATTACAGTTGTACCCCACTTAACGCGGTCAATAGAACCCAGAGGGTCCCGTGTTAAGTGAAATCCGCGTTAAGTGAACAACAGAACATATGGGATTAATTCCAATAGAAACTGGCCTGACCCCCAAACTCCACTTTTTGAAGGCACATACCTATGTTGTAGTAAAAATAACATCTTAATTTTATGATGGTACATGCACACAATTAATACTTAAGAGAAATAGAGAAATACAGTCGCCAAGTTAATGTCCATTCAAATAATGGACTCAACTCACTCCCCCTCTCACACTACACTGCCGGCTCTTCCCTCTGAGAAATTTTTGGGGGAAAACCACTAAATTTTAATAAATAATACCTCAAACTAAAGTTAGGATAATACAATTGACATTGCTGGATTCCTTGTAAGACCAGGAATATTTTGAATATAAATGTCATATATTTTGCACAAAAGATAACATAGTTACCTAGAGAAAAATTTTTATCTAAAATTTGTATGTTTAATGCAAAATATATGATGTTTATATTCAAAATGATCACCAAATTATAAGAATTCCAGCAATGTAAATTATATTCTGACCGGGTAATTTGTATGAATTTTATGAGCTAAAACAAATATCTTCAGTTAATAAAAAAAAAAATAATCTTCACGACACTATCTGTCAATCAAAGTACCCCACCTTGCCTCCCCCCTCTTCCAACCGCGCGGTCAGTCCCAACCCTCAC